TGTTCAGACTCTGGCAGCCCGCGCCTTTCGGCGTGAAAGCTCTGCGTGCCACACCGCGGGAGGAACGAACGAGAGCCATCACCGATGCCGAAAATCAGAGGATCCTGCGAGGACTGGGTTCTAAGGATTCTACTACACACTTGGTCACTTGGTGCCATGATAAACCAAAATTAGAGGCCGACACTGACATGGAAGTGTCCAACACATTTGAACTTCAAACAGTACACCTTTTCACGTACAGCATCATTGGTCCGGACCAGTATGAAAACAATGCATAGATATGCACAGCTGGTCTTTGTCTTGTTCAAAGCACTTTTGTCATACTCTTATCCAATAGCCATGAGATTAACTGCAATCCTTGTAGCGCGGTTTGGATAGGAAGATGACACGCAACATGTAAGTAAGCAAACGTGCTGCCTTCATGGCCTCAATTTGGCAAACACTTGGAGGTTGACTGATGCATGAGCGCAAAAACATCAGAAACTTTGCCGGAAAACCACTGGCCGAGGGTGATGACTCAAGATATATAGATTGGATTAGAGCCCATTCGGGCTGTTTCCATGGCTCGATTATGGAATTTGCTTAGCTGCTCAATCGAAGCTCATCCAATGCAAGCAACTGAGCAAAAGTCCCGCAAACCACCAGCCTTAGATGTGGCAATTCAGGTGCAACTTGAAAAATAACAACTAACAACAACAACTGTGGCAAAGGGCCCCGAAATGAACAATTGTGCTCTCCTCAACAATCACCGCTGTTGATTGGGAGAGTATGCACTTCAAAAGCTTTTTAAACAAAGAAAGGGCACCTCCAAAAAGGGGTGATAGAATAAATCATGTATATAGAATTATGATACTATAAGGACTATGATAGATTGACTTGATGTACTCCCTCGGTGCCATGCGACCCCGGATCCACGCCAGGTGCAATGAAATATTGGTGGTTCTTCTTGTCCTGGAGCGCAAAGCGCAAGCGCAAGCGCACGAGCGCGCACGGGCGGTCACACGTTGACAAAGACATTCATCCCTTCTTGTCCGTTGGTGGTGGTGGTCCCGAAGTAGACATCACCGTTCTGCCCACAGTAGATATCACAAATAAATGTTATGTTTGATGAATAGCAAGTTCAAGGGGAATGTCATGTCATGTTCGATGTTCCGTTTGGCGCCGGAATTTATCGAAGACGGGCCGATCACTGAAGTCCAAATTTCAGTCGACTGGCTCAACCATATCCACATGTTCCTGGCTTTACATTGAATCCCGGCACCAGGGCCTTGCTCGGTGGGGTTGCCACAGACCAAACGTTAACACGACGCCGAAAGTGAAGGGCACCAAATCTGTGGATAATCGGATAAAGGATGAAAAGGGATGATGAACATCGTCATTGGCCGTCAGCTTGAACATGCCCTCCGGTCTGCTTCACATCAAAAGTCTGGAGGCCCCTCCGACTTCGATCTCCTTTGGCTCAAGGGGGGTCTAGTTCAGCAAATTCAACCAAATAGACATGGATATCAAACTGAATCATGGGGGGGGGGTTGAATTCAACTTGGGAGCTATCATCTCCCATAAACCGTGCTTCCAAGGAAACATCACCAAAACCTCTTCTCCCGCTGCTTTGACAGCATCACTGCTGTTGGCCTGATTCCAACTGCCTCTCCCCCGCTCCAAGTGCCCACGCAAAAAGAATCAAAAAGACATGTGTGAAAGGCTTTGGAAACCCGATCAGAGGCCCGACCGGGCCACCCGGCCCCACTTCTGGGGACGATCGCCGCGCCGCCCTTCTTATTCTTCACTAACCACCTCGGTCGGCCGGCATTGAAGAGTCCATCATCTCTGGCCAACTCGCGAGTTGGACATTATATACCAAATTACATACATATCACATTACTACAAATTACATTACATACATTATACCTAGAAGATCCTTTGGGCAGAAATTCTTGCCTTTTTCGGGAAGAGCGGCTCTTCCCGTCCTGGGGCGGAAATCAGCTGTTTGCCGCGGAAATGTTTTTGTTGCCGCGAATATTCCCTTTCAGGAATCCAGTGAGACAAAGACTACATATTCTAGAGGAGTTGAATATTTTTGTGGTTTACATTGGGCATTTCTGCCTGGAACGGTCACCGCAATGAAAAAAGACAATTTGCAGCGCTTAAGTTTCCACCTCCACCTGCAAATCTGGCTACCATCATATCATATATTATGTGTCTTTGTTTTTGAAGGTTTCTTGTGCGGAATGATCACAAAAGGACTAAAATCAGTCCAAAGTTGAAAACACCTGGCGCGAAAATGCCCGGGAAACAGGCAGAAATACCCGGGAAAGAGGCGGAAATACCCGGGAAAACGGCGGAAATACCCGGTTTCCGGCGGAAATTTCCTGGTAGAAGGCGGGATTCAAGAACAGTGCCTTTGATGCCTTTGAAGGGCTTGAACATATGTCCCAGCCTCTTTGTGAATGTCATGAATTTAGAAGTGTCAAAATCGTAGGGTGTCAGATCTTGAGATGTGAAGCTATGCAGAACGATATGTGGTCTGCAATCATGGAAGAGACAACCTGGTAGGTTGTAATGGTTTTTGAGTTGCTATGTTGGATTTTGCTTGAGGCAAAAATTCCCTGCTGCCCGCGGAAATTCCTACCTGGCGCGGATTTCCCCTAAATCCGCGAATCCTCCCGGGCAAATCGGACTGAGGCAGAAATTTCTGCCCCAGGTGCTTCTAGGTATACCACATTATACCACATTATATATATATATACCCAACAATAGAAGACGACGACGACGACGACGACGACTACGACTACGACTACGACTACGACTACGACTACTACGACTACGACTACTACTACTACTACTACTACTACTACGACTACTACTACTACTACTACTACTACTACTACTACTACTACTACTACGTACTACTACAACAACAACAAGTACTACTACCAGTACTACTACTAGTACTACTACTACGACGACGACTACTACTACTCCTACTCCTACTCCTACTACTACTACTACTACCACTATTTCTACTACTACTATACTACTACGACTACTATTACTACTACTGCTACTACTACGACGACTGCTACTACTACAACTGCATACGTCATCTTTCGCTGTGACGGCGTGACGCCGTCGGACTACCAAGCTTTCCTGGAGCGAACACTCAAGCAACATCTGCCCGTTGACCACGCATGACCACCGATGTGAAGCTGAATCCTATCCGGCCTTACTAACCATGTAGTCTGGCGCACTCAACGAAAAAGATCCGCTGAACCCTGGGTTCGGGGATCAACCACCCAGTGCGGAGTTTTTTTTAGATATCAAGTTATCAATGTCTGCGCGAGAAATTGGGATGGGCTTGAACTTCCAGTAGCTTCTGTTCAAAAAAATAACTCACCAAATGTTTCTTGCGTGAGGCTGCGGAGCGGCATTCATTCCGTCTTGGTTTCTTCATGCTCTGCACCAGCAGCTTGGCATTTCAAAGAAGCAACCGGTGCCGCATCACCCCCCATCCAGGACTCCAGGTGGGTGACACCCTGACAACGATTATTTAGCCAACAAACCATCTACGCAAGAGAATCTGCCTACAGTGGTGAATCAGCGTGAATCTATGTAATTCCTTCCTTAGTAGACGCTGCTAACTTGGATTTGCCTGCGCAAAAGAAAACATCTGGAATCTGGAAGAATGTGCCCCCGGATCGTTTTCTTGTTGTTTCCTCAAAAGTGGACGACACCCTGAGCATCCCAAAAAACCTTCGGGGTCAGATTCCTTGAGCATCCAAAAGTGGTTCAGTGGATCCAAGTTCGTTCCCAAACACCTTGGCGGTGGCAAGCCGAGCTGTAAGGAAATCGTCCATGCCTTGAGGGCGGACGCACACATCGCTGGGCGACACCCAAAATCGACGCGAAAACATGACTGGGGCACACATCGCTGGATTCTTGGGTCTGAAATACATGCTTAGAAAGTACCAAATAGGTGTACTACCAAAACATGAACAGTTTTTGAGCATTCTGAAGAGCCTTCTGTTCTGTGTGCAACAGAACCGGGGGACCCAAGACCACACCCGGTCAACAAACCAATCTGCACCTAAACCCCTTGCGCCATGGAGGTCTCCATATTCTTTCAATATCCTCCATGTTTGGAATTCCCCGGTGTTCCAGGCCACAGCGACTCCTGTCAGCCTTTCGAAGACGTCTTGGAAGACTCTGGCAGTGGAGTGGTGGCTCAAGAGTCAAGAGTGATGAAGACCAGAAAAATGATAGTTTGGTTGGTTGTGCCTCCTTTGTGAGCTTGTATCCTAGTGAGGAAGCTCCCAGCTCAGTGGGTCTTCCCAAGACTATCGGCTGTCCAACTTTATCGGTTCTTTTTCATGTTTGTTCTCTCCTCTCAACTCAACAAAGATCGAAAGAATGTCCACCCACCGAGGCCGTTATTTGACTGCGACAGAAACAGCCACGGCTATTTGTGACCTTCACCCCAGTGGACCCTGTCTCTGCCCGGGTGCGGAGTCCCCCCTTGAAGCTCCCCTCCTTGGTGCAACGAGGTCGAGAGAGTCTCGTGAACGAGGACCAGTGTGATCGGTCCATCAATGGCATGGTCGGCCCGTCAATGCTCAAAATGAGTTTAACTCTGTATATCTTTGTGTACATAGACGCATTTATGTATGCATAGTAAGCAATATTTATATATACACATAGAAATACATGGTATACAGAATGTACGTTATTGTGTAATGTTTGGAATTATCTTCCCCTCCATATCCCTTCATGGTCCATGCCAGTGTTCCTTCCTTCGGCCCAAATGGCTAGCCTGGCCTGCCAGGTGCGCCAGCTTGGTGGCAGAGAATGGGGATTTCCTCTTCTTGTTGGATGGCCTTGTAGTTTCCAAGTGGGTGGACGTGTAAAAATACACCCAGCAAGGATCGAACTGGCGACCAATTGTGCAATCGAACTGGAGTTCCCAGAAGTCAAGTGATCTGTCATTGGCCTGGTCTAGCCTTGTCCTACGGGTTAAGGCCTCGAATTCGGCCGAGCCGCGAACTCCCCCTCCGCTCCCACGTCCAAGCATCCATGCGCATCTTGGCATCGAAGGAAAATGGTGGGCGCGACAAGGTCGCCCAATGGTAGAGCATATTGCCTCACAAGGAGTCACCCGAGTCAGTCACACGAGCCAGTCACCCTGGAAGAGTGGGTGCGTTTGTGACCTGACATGTCAAACCGTGGCAGGGAGCCAAACTAAGGAAGCCATACAATCTGACACGAGCCAGTCCAAGTACGAAATCACTGCCAAAAGAAAGGTCTAACCACCAGCTGGTCTGGTACATATTAATTCAGCCTAGCGAAGCTATGTTAGCAAAGGGCGGGTACACGGAAACAAATATGAAAAAATGGCACGCGCATTTGTATAGTTCTCAATTCCCTCCATGAAAAGCACGGTGCTCGGTGAAACCACGTGGAACAACAATTGCAATGGCAATGCTCTTCGGACGTTGACCAGCGGCCACGGAATGAATTCAAGGCACTCCCTTAAGAGTCTCCTGTTGGAGGATCTTTGCTCGAAGATTGAGGTGTTTGGCAATAAGATTTGTCAATAAAACTATGTAACTATATCAAACTATAACCTGCAAATGAATAGCATTCTTTAAGGCATTCAAAGGCAATCTGACACCATCTGACACCGTGTTTTACCGTGGTGCGCCAGCGGGGTGCCGTTTCTTTGGCTTCACGAGCTGACCAGCAAAGGGAGCATCTTTCAGTCGCAACAAGTTCACCCAACGCATAAGGTTCACCTCATTGCCTCAACACTCCATGTATGGCATATAATTATATGCTGTGACTACTTGCCCGCAGTACAAAAATGCTATAATATACATATATATATGTAAATGTATGTAAATAAAATATTCCCCAAATTTCGTGTTCAAAGATATCTTTTTCTGGGTCTCCCATGTTGTACCACGTCCCAGGGCAAGCGAGGCGCCCTCCATGCTGATTGTCTGACACCCCGACAAGGGCTGTTTGCCTCGGCCGCGACGCGAGTCAACCGGTGGTTCTTGGGACTCGACCTGCTCTAAACGGTTGGGATGGCGAGGACAACCAGCGTAGCCTCACAGCTCAAGGGGGCTGAAGGTCCAAAAAGAACTCTGAAAAGCTCAGGATCCACCCCAGTTTAGTGTTCTATGATGGTTGAAGGTGCATTGACTTAAAGAATGTATGGTACACTCCCCCAAAATCACGTGCCACCCCAACTTAGAGGAAGCGCACATCTTCCCAACATTTCCCAACCACCAAGCCAGATTTGATGAGGTGCTGACCTGACCCCACAAATGCTCCATAAATGCGCCACCAATCAAAGCCGGTCATGTGGGGCAGTACAAACTTCATAAGCTGCTTGGTGTCTTCACTATGCGCTGACTTGAAGCATCCCCAAGATCCCAAGGCAGCCAAGGCTCCATAGATGGCATAGTGGCTACGTGTGCTTTGAAGCGGCCTTTTCTTCTCAAGGGTCTGCATAGCACCTTCGCAAGGGCGCTAAGAATCACCACAATGGGCAATGACTATGGCAAAAGCTTTCCCAATGAATTTGATTGGGTGTTTCAATGGAAGTAGCTTGGGGGGAAGGGAGGTTACCTGGATTATCGATATACGTCCCTGATGTGAGTCTGCTGGTGATTTCATTTTGCCATCATTGCTATCTTGAATTTTTTCGCACTGGCAGACTGGCACTGGCACTGACTATTGATCGCCTATTCCGGGAATTGGGTTGCCGATGGAATTCCATGCAGGGAACGACTCCTATTAGTGTCGAAGTGCACCAGCCCCAAGTCGGAAGACCATCTGATGGGCCCCTACTGGATACTTCCAAATCTTTACGGACGACAACTGCAACCCAAACACAATCTCAATTCATTTGGGTGTGTATTTTAATAAGGAGATCCCCAACCAATAGGGTTTGGTCTATTTTCATCTATAGAGGGTCTTTTGGTCTATTTTTTCATCAATACGATTGAATACGCACCCATTTGAATCAGCAGTCCCATATGTCTACTCATATGTCTTTACCGTTCCCATCTGAAACAGGTGTCACATGGTGTCGCCTGTTTCCCACGCCAGTTTCCAACCCGAACTGACCTCCCAAACTCGGGGGGGGTTCCGCCGGCGGACAGCCCGACTCGTGCCTAAGAGTTCATCGCTTGGGCCGCGGATGAAGCTGAACTTCCTGGCGTCTCAAGGAGCTTGGAGATCAGGTGAGAGGATGGCAATGTGTGGACAACTGGATGCAACGGGATTACTTTTTTTGATCATGTACAATCAAATGGAAGGAGGAGGAGGGCGGGATAGCATTCTTGATGGGGACAAAGACCAAAACACACCAACAAAACAAACCACTGCGCAGGAACACCTGGAGCTTCGAAAGATCAAAGACTTCCATCACAGCTTTGTATGCGTTGTGCCCTTAGTCCGGAGATGAAAGGCCTCCAGCATTTTCCGAGCCATTTGGCTGTGAGTTCAAACCTGGAGCCCCAAAAACAACTGGTATATTAACCCTCCCTGGTTGGTCTATTCTATTCATTCTCCGTGGCCCTGGAATCCAGGAAATGACTCTGTGGTCGCCCACTCCGTCCGGGTCGCCTGAAGGATCGGTGCGGGCAAAGCTCCAGGCAAAGCACGCAGTTGCCACTCGGCATCGCACGCACGGCAATCCTTGGGAGTCGAGTCGCTTGGTCGTGGTGTTCAGGCACCGGCGCTTCGGTCTGCGAAGGGCTAGGTGGGAGGAACATGGGTTTCATGGTTTCATGCAATGGGTGGGGGGGGACGTGCGAAAGCAAATCAAAGGAAGTGCACCGTAAAAAAATGTGCACATTTAGAAGTCGAGAACGCTAGGATGGAACAGGCGTTCTCCAGGTCAAGTGTTTGTTACTTGTTCAAGCAATGCGCCTGTTCTTGGTGTGTTCCTTTCTCCTTTGACTCCCTTAGGAACAAACACCCACTTGCGCAACCAGAAAGCATTTCACTCTGAAGCGGCGCCCTCCCCGAGAAAACAAACAAACAAATATGTATATATATCGTAAACAGAATCCACTCGTGGATCGCCCTTCTTCCGTCGTCTGAGGGTCTTTTCGTGCATCCCGACGCCCTCGTCGTAGTCAATCTGACTCAGGCAAACGCTCCATGGCGTTACCCAGTAGGACTCCATCTGCAAGCTCGGGGGCATACCTCTCACCGCTCGCTCTGAAAACCGATGTGATTCACGCGGTGAATCGGGAGTCGGATGTTTATCGGAGGATTTTTTCCTTCTGCTCCTAATTACGTAGACTTGAGTGACTTCGACTGAGTTCTTCGTTGGTCGGGGAACTGACGAGTAAGTCACGGTTGTTTGATGTTTTTAGTCAGCAAGAACCAACACGGAGATACAGCGAGTCATTAAGATTAAGTTCGATGCTTGGATGGTGTTGGCATCCTCTTTTGAGAGATGGGGGGTGAGGATGGCTCTCTTTTCGTGGCGGAAAAGGGACCAGGATTGGCAGGATGCAGTGGAGATTCAAGGATGGGAACCCCACGAAGAAGGATGGTCTGTATATATAAGTCTCATCCGAGGTCGTCATAAACCATGTGGCATCTGAATCTGGTTTTGTATATCGTATGAAAGTATGACCATCCCATCTTAGACTTCAAACCAAGAACCCACATGGGAAATATGCGTACCGACTCCCATGATTCATCACTGCCACTTCACACTTCACACTTCGCCAGGACTGCCACCTAGATAACTGCCACCGAGTTACATGGAAGGAAAGGGCCGGCTTGGCGGGGCATCTGCGCCGCAAGGAAGTCATCCGGGTTAGGCAACTTCCCCTCGCCTTAGGAGGACCGTGTCACAGCTCAGCTGCCTCCCATGTCCCAGGTCCAGCTGCGAGACGCCCCCCCCCACGGAGGCCTCGTTGGTTCCTCTGGACGCTCGAGAGATAATTATGATATATATATATACATATCACGGGGGTTGGGGAGGCCTGAGGGGGGGGGGCTATGGTGCTTAGGGTTTGCTCATTGATAGTGTGCAAACTGTGCGCATTCTTATTAAGCTTCTAATAATTACTAATAGCAGCTATTAAGCTTTTAATAGGCTTTAACCACCATGGAAATGGCCTTTAATAAGGTCTTGGCAATAAGACCCTAATAAAGTCTTATTAGCCTTGGATAGACAAATGAGACCACCCAATCCCAACCCGATGTTTTCATCCATCGGCTCCGCTCGATTTGGCCGCCGTTCCTTTCGGGGCCCTGGCTCCAAAAAGCCAGCGACTGTTCTTTGACAATCGATTGAGGGTTTCATCAGTCATGAAATTTATAGTTTATATATATATGTGTGTGTGTGTGTGCGTGTCCAGAATCTACCACCAGAATTTCAAAAGCTATATAGTGCTTAGGCCTTTTGTGGGGTTCAATTTGAGGGCTCCTTTGGTGGCATTCCTGGCCTCACCAAAAGCCTTCTGGACAAGCTATTCAGGGCTTATCCATGGGTTACCCTAAAAACCTCCTGCCTTGCAGATTCCCCCTTATCCAAGGCTTATCCAGGTCTTATCCAGAAATTAGCCAGTGCCCTCAAAAGTTATCGATTTTGGTGCCTCAAAAGGTTCCCAAATTGATTAATGATTCATTGGCTGATAGATCAGCCATGATCAGCCCATGCCAACTGGACAACCTGAATTCAATTCCTCTTTCCTTCCACCAAACAACATTATGAGCAGCAACATCTGCTGAGCCGTCGGATGGTCAAAATCCGCCACGGCAAAAAACGTGCACATGTCTGTTTTGGAGGGCCTGCAGGAAGGGGGCTGATCTGATAGTTATTTGATGTTATATAATTGATAGCTTAGTCATTCTCTAAAAAGGCCTTGGGCATAAGGTCCATAGCCGCCCCCCCATCCCCCATGATTACATAGATATACTTACCGTATTCCATACGCCCACGTCAAGAATGGGGACCGTCTTCAATCCAGTTATGCGGGCCTTTCGGATGTGGTATCTTGGTACTATATAGTTGCCCACTGATACACCACCACTACATCCGGATCAATCCGAGCCATCCGTCGCTGGTGCAACTCTGTTCGCTCCCAACAGTTCCTTTTTTGAGCGAACAGAGTGTAGCAAAAAGGCATTAATTTGGTACTAAACTCAAATACACTATCATCAATAACACATCTATTATATACTATCACCAATACATCGTATTTGGTACTCAAATACACTATCTATTATGTGTGATAGGCCCCATCACTACTTTTAGTACACTACTTTAGTAAAGCCTAAAGTAGTAAGTGGTTGCTCATGTGACCAGCAGGGCACAGAACGGATCCAACGGAGTTTTTGGTGAGGGAAATTCAGTTGGCCAGCATGATGTGTCCAGTTGGCTGCGGCAGAAAGCAGTTGGACTTTCCATGAATGTTCTTACACGTCCTGTGCTTAGCAGTGTGCTTAGCGAATGCAACATTGCCATCAACAGCTGTTAAACAAGTCATGTTGCACCAACATGGACAAGTCACAGCACCCCATCGGCGAGAAAATGGATGAAATGGGTGAGACCGAGCCTAAATGCTGCAAGAAGAATAACCTGGGTCTTCGTTCAAGTGAGCACCGCAGAACCGAAGGGCAGGTCATTTGGATCGATTTACATCAACATTCGATGGAGAAAACATGACCAAAAAAAAAAAACATAACTATGTTTGAAACATCAAGGGCCGGGCCAACCCAATTATTTTGGCCCTGCTCCCCAAAACTCAAATAACAACACATGAACGAAGCCGTGCCCTCACCTGAGGGCATCTAGTGAATCTATTCAAGCTGACCCAACCGGCACGAAGTGTGGACATGAGTCTGTGGCTCCTTGAAATCAATGATTAGCATTATTCAACAACATTCAACGGTCACGGACACGTTCAAATCAACAACTGACTGTGATCAAGTGGTGTCGCAAAACTCAACTCGCGGATACCGACTCTATTACTACCATCTGCACCTTGGTAACAACTGTGCCCATTAACATCCCATGCCGAGGTACAGATGGTAGTAATCCTCTTACATCCTCTTATAGGACACCCATTTGCAGGGCTGTAAGACGTGCCCATTCACATCCCATTTACAACGTACCGAGGGTGGCGACCGCTCATCCGCGGTCCACCGCCCTCCCCGGTTCCACTGGTGGGTGGTCCACTCTCGTTGAAGACTCTCATTGGGTAGTCCCAGTAATGCCCCAAGAAAAGCGTGGTTTGATGTAGTTTGTGCCTGATTGTAAAGCCTGATGATGTGGGTGGCCACAGGTGCCGAGTCAAACTTGAATCATGACAGTGGGCCAGCTGTCCTGGCAACATATCCATGCTACCATGCAAAAAAAGTAGCGCTCCAGCAAACAAGGAAACAAGCCAAAAGGAGCAAACCTTGATCCCAGTACATAGAGGAAGCCAAGCAAAATCACACACAACGTCAACAGAAAGGACACAATGTCTCAGAGTCTCCGCACACGTCAGGAACAAACCAAGGACTGCACAGGCACAACGTCAATCCAAGACGTTCGCATCAAGATCCGTTGCAAACCTTATAAGGTAGTCCTGACAAGTACCACTCTTAGGCAGCCTGCCTGAAGGCTTCGCAAGACTACCCTTATTTAAGGCCAAGAACTTCATGACGATTCCGAACTTTCTTTAGAGCTCTAGCCTCACTTGGGATTGCATTTCTCATTTCTTTGGCCCTGAGGTTCCCTGCCTCCCTTGAGACCGCCCAGCCTTCCATCTAGCACACCCAAGAACATTGTTTCAATCATATTTTTAAAGACGTACGACCCTCCCCTGTACGCCACCACGTGCAGAATACCTAGACTCCCAAATCCACGATTTCCAATTGGCATGAATGTGATTTCAAGTGTTTGGGCTCAACCAAGGTCCCACGGTCTTGATTTCATTAGTAAAGCGATTGACTTCCAAGCTCGACACTTCCTTTTGCCGCCTCCACAAAGGGGTCCTTCCGCTGCGCAAAAAATAACGGCCCTGCCACTGCTTTCCAAAAGTACAACACGAAGGACCTTCAACCTCAGGTGGAGGACCGAATGACCGTATAGATGGAACCTCATATAGAGGCAATCACTTCCGTGATGGAGGTGACTTTCATCGTTCTTTCACACTCACCTTCCCAAGATCGAAGCAACCAAGGGATATTCACCATCCCGATTGGAAGCAGTCCTACAGACTGAATGGTGTGTTCAACTGTGATTGGCATCGTTTGTCTCAATCAAATTTCCGCGCAAGATTTTTCTGCCACTGATTGTGGTGCAGCGGGGGTCAGCTCCTACCTTCTGAGCATGCTGTTGGATCTAAATAGAATTACGGCACATCAACTTAGAAAAACAATTGACCCAGAGGAACCCCTCAATTTCTCTGTATGTCCAAGGGTTGGACATTGTTTCTGCGTGAATGTGATTCAACTTGCAGCCACTGTTTCATTGGATCTCATGTTTCGGGCGTCTGGGAGAGCATTGCATGGTACATATATAGCAGTTTGCCGGGCATCCGTACCTCCACATTTTTTGTTGGGGACGTTTTCGAAAGGTTATCTTCAGCATGTTGCTGACTACCAACACATTAACACCGGTAATAATCACAATTACGTCACGGCGGTGTCTCCTCCTCCAAGCTGCACTTCAACATCACCTTGGCAAGTTCAGCTATGCATCCAAACAACTCTCACTATCACTATGCAATGTTTAGAACATGCATTGTACAACAACAATGAGCTGAGATTCTCGTTGGAGTGCACATAAGCACCCGAAATGACCAGAACCTACTTCATGCATTCAAAAGCATATGTGACATATATGTGCTGTTTCCCTCCACGGCCAAGACGTCGGGTGTGACCGAGAAAGACGGGGAACGACGGCGTCGGGCGTGTAACACCTGGGAGTCGCGCGATGTCACCGGTGTGAAGGACCTCCATCCGGTCCAACGGTCCCATGGTGGCATCCTGCGCACCGAGCGGTGGAGAGGTGAAAGAAATGGAGGACACTCCCTCCAACACCAAACAAAGGCAATTACTGTGTAAATACTATAGATATATAAAGATATATAAAGCAAATGTGTATATAGGGATAAATTTGTTTAAATATAATAGAAACGTATGTATATTATGTTGCATTCCGCTACACAAACCAATTGCCCATCAAACCAT